GGTCTATAACATGTGAGAAACATCATATACGTATAAAAATAATTTAAAACGCATCTAGTTTTAATGAGAATGGACGATTTGCCAATGCAAATAACAGAATATTCTAGTTCAGAAATGGGATGAAAGCTATGAAGGAAAAAAACAGGCTATCGAACCACCCGGCGCCCGTAGCACGTGCGATGACCCGAACTTGTTCACATTGTTGCCATATCGTCTGCACTCAGTATAGATCAATTTGTCCCGGCATTTGTAATGAATTGATAAGATATCTCCATTGTACTTCCATATTACTAGGCAGGCGGTATAGTTGCAGATTAAAAAAAAATATTTAAATAAAACACTAGGACCGAAGAATCAAGGCACGATGGATTGAACTTTTATACTACCTGCTTTCCATAATGCGCATTTGGCAATTGAAAATTATGATTCATGTTGGGTAGGAACAATGTCGTTTGGAAATAATACATATGTTAGAAGGCTCATAGTATGCATTCAGTTGCATGTTGCAATCCTCATTTATTCTCTGATGTAACTGTAATTAAGTATCCCTAAATAAATTTAAAAAAATTCTTCTATCAACTCCATTTCCGAAAGCCCTGAAATAGCATTAAACACCTGGGACTTTCTTAATTTGCATTAGATTGAAAAGTTGTTTATACCAATGTCTGTCCTATATCCGTCCTTCTTTACTCTAATGAATTGGCTCGTTCTTTTCGAAAAATGCGACAACCCTGCTCGGTCCCCAACCAACCAACAGGTTGGCGTCTGCTTTGTCCCATGGTCGTCATAGCAACCGGGGCGCGGGTGAGTCTTTTAACCGGTTTATGGGACTAATCGCGGTTGCCACACTGAAACATCAGCTGATCGACTATGGTCGTTATCAAGTTGGCCTGGCAGCCAGGCCGATCTCGATCGAAGTTGGCACAACATTAATAGGGTGTTATGGCGTATCGTTTTTTTAAAGGCCACTTACTTTCGTTGGTTTGTCCATTAAGTTCGGGATAAAATACGCACATAATTTATGCAAATAAATGTTTATACGTAAATATTCTTTCATTGGCTCTTTGAAGTGAAATATTAGTTTTTTTGGTTTTGTTGCTTTTTTTGCTGATTGGAATTATTAGCAGCGTGTTTTATTTTTTGTTATTCGGGGTTGCTGTTGCCTTGATATATTATAACATTTTTTGTTACTGCCTACAAAAATCTGATTAATCTGCCCACCTGTAGAAACAAAATTCAAACTAATTCTAATTGCCGTTGCTACTTGAAATGGTTTTAGATCAAACTGTATAATGGCCCAGTCCATATTGAGGTCAAGTGAAAGTATCCATGAAAGTAATCAAACAAACATTAAAATTGCATCCATCAAAGTGCTAAATGCTACTATGTGGGTTATATTTATAGGAATTTTTGCGTTCGTCCAAGAATGTATAAAAGTAAAAAGTCGCTTTCACTGACTGGTGGCTAAAAAATAGAAAAATTTGCTAAGCAAAATGTAGATTCGCCTCAAAATCTCGCTCCAAGGAATTCATGGATACTTCTCGAGCTTATTACATGCAGCCGTTACAGTTATTTCATGTGCAAATCTAGGACAAAACAGAAATTTGTTAGTAGGTCAGAGGTGTAGAAAAAAGAATGCAATGTTATGTCGCGGTATCAATGTCAAACCTGTATAGTTTCTGGCCTACTATGCTTAAAATAACTTGCATTCGTTCCAGAAGAACGTTAATCAGATTATATGTTTCTATCAATGTGAGATACTTTAACGTAGGATTGAATTTGCGTGTGTTTGGTTGAGCTTCCTTTGGAGATCTCTAGCCCAGGTGCATTCTTCAGCTGCCTGTATGAAGGTCTATTTTTATCGTCAGACGGTTCCTAAGGTAGACAAACTGAAAAGGAAAACAACATCCTCGATTAGGAAGCGACTAGCTAACTGCTTAACGAATTTTTCAGTTTTTATGTGATCAGTGGGCGTTGGTAATTTTTTGAACTTTAACTTTCCAACAACTTAATTATGAAAAGTAGTCCATGGAAAGGAAAGAAGCAATCATTCGCTGTTTAAGTGTTAATGTTTTGGTTTATGCTTTGTTTACACGAGAATCGGAGGATTGGTCACTTTTTCAAATGGGCTTTGTGAAAAGCATTACTTCGTGAAAAATCAGGGTAAATTATGATCATATTTTGACTCTTTTTGACGATTTTTTGGTATTTTTTAAATATTGAACAATCATCAGGCAGATACAATGGTATGGGATTATCATTTACATCTTTTTGCCTCAGTTTTAGGTGAAGTAACTTAAATAAAGGAGGTCGCAAAACTGAATATCCGAAGAATTCGCTGAGGTTTTAGGAAAAAGGTAAAATTCTGATGAAAGATGAAAGATGAAAATCGGACAAAGAACCGGAAGCGACCGTAAAATGAAGCAACAGCGACACTTGTTATGAAAGAAGAAACAAATTAAGCCAACGCAAATCGTCAAATTAAAAATACATTAACCTAGTAGTTAAATCGAGACTAGTTTTGATATAATGATAAGAGAGGCTTTGTCTGGAGACAATTAGTGATTGGAAATAGGACTAAAATTGTAAAGTTTAAACTTGGATAAAAATTGCTGAGTAAAATGAGTGCGTCTTTGAGTGAAAAATTGTACTTGGCCGTATGATGATGTCTTTATGTTGGATGTTGTACCTACTAAGTGGGGTTTCTGGCTGTCCCATGACTCCGTTGACATAAAATTATCAATATTTAAAGATAAATATAAATACCAGTCCAAAAATTTATGTTTTTACCCAATTACTTTCTTCCTTAAAAAAGTCGCATATTTGAAATTTTCACTATCTTGAAGAAGAAGAAAGACATCTGGCTCTGCAGATCCAGACAGAAACTTTCATAAAAATTGTTCGTTTTAAAGATTTATCCGACTTAGTAAATACCATTCTCAAAAGGAATATTTTTACTCATCTGCGCTCTCTGCTTAAAAAATTCGCATCCTCCAACCTGAAGCAAGTAACAATGTAATATTGTTATCATCTTTAAAATACTCTTTACTCTACAGGTGGTGAGAGTTTTATTGAAATTTTTCTTCAAAATAGATGTTTTTACTCATCTGTCCTTTCACCTTAAAAAATTCGCATTTTTCAAATTAAGGCAAGTAGTAAAAAGGCAAATTAAGTAGTAATTTGAAATTTTTACCATCTTTAAAATAAACTTGACTACATAAGCAGAAATATTTTAGCCGACTTTGTAAATACCGATTTTAAAATGCATGTTTTTACTCAACAGTCAACGGCGTTCTCTCCTTTAAAAAATTAACATCTTCAAGACTAAGCCAAGTAGCACTTTGATACTGCTACTCTCCTTAAAAGAAACTTGACTACAGATGCTGAAAGTTTCATTGAAATCGCCAACATTCCTGATTGTCGCCAGTTTATTAAATACCGGTCTGAAAAAAAATTGCAATGAAGCACAATTTAATCGCGGGAAGTTTACAGTCAAACTGAGGGTAAAACTCATACATCGGAAAAAACGTCGGACGATCGGAAATCGGATGCAGAGAAGTTCAGCTAAGAAATACATCTGTAATAAAATGTTAAAAGGTTGTTGCTAACCGATCTATTCATCGTTTCATTGCAGACAAAAAATAACACTCGGCATTTTTTGTTGCAATTTCCATACGGTTGCAAGTCAATGAGCCTTCAAATATCATAATTTATTGTATAGATGATTTTTTTTGCATTACTATTTATAAAAAAAATATTTTATTATTGAGTTTAAGGAAAAAGTTATTCGTTTTTGAATCTCAGAAAACCTTGGATCATTAAAGCGAAGAAATACAGTTGACCAAAAGCTATTCTTCATAAAAATTCTAGATGGACTGGACTAAAGCTCTAAATTTTTTTCAGTAGTTGATTAGAATTGAAAAGTATATTCCTATGAGCAATTACATCGAACTACTGGAAAATTTGTATTGATTTCATTTTAACAATAAACATTTCCGTCTTTGTTTCCCTAATAACATTTGTTCCAATTTAAATACGGCATAAATACGATATAGTATCAAAAAAGGAATAAAACACGCTTTTCACGGTAGGTATGTCGATGTAATTGCACATTTGAATGTACCTTTCAATTCTGATCAACTTTTTCTTCCAAAAATTTTCAGTATTGTCATAAAGACCCAGTTTACTCTCAAGCCAAACATGTTTTTTGAAAAACATCACATGAAGCTGAAAGAAAATTATTATCTCGTCGTTTCATTTCAAATAAAAAGTTCAGATGATCTAACCTTGCAGAGCTTTTTATATTATATATAGGGTCTAATCTGTAAAATGTTTGTACAAAATCCTACCAAAGATTGTTGGGGTGAAAACATGATAAATTAATTTATTTTGTCTGATCCAAAAGTGAACGGCCAGAAATCGTTTTGAGCCAGAAATCGTTGTACACACACCCTGTATTTAGAATTATCTGTCTTAAAATTAATTTAAAGAAAGCTTTCTTATATGACTTTACTGTTAACTTCAAGTGTATAAAGAACATTTTCTTTTGGAATAAAACTCATTAAACAGTGTTTTTAATATTTTAATTTAGACGGTTAGTCAGTACTTAATTACTCAACAATTCAAGCAACAAAGCGCTAAGGTTTTTCTGTGGGAACGAAACATAAAAGCGGTGTTACAGTACAAGGTTTGTTTGTAAATGCGAGAAAAAAACGTTTTTTTTATTTCGTTTAAATCTAAAGATAAATAGGGCTATTTATAAGAACTGGATTTCTGGAACTTCTGAACAAACACTCACTCCAATTACACCAAACTTGCAAAATAATCGACAAAGTATTTGAAGAAATATTGTTTTATTCGAGTACTCAATACCACCTATACATATACACATATCTGCCTTTAATTACAGCAGTAACAAGCAACTTACATAAATAAAAAACCGCATAATATATCATTGTTTTACATATCTAAAACTTGTCTTTTCCTGTTATTTTTTTCAGACTGAGCTCTCTGGAATAAAATGGCGTAAACTGACCTGGTCGGAACCGGGAGGCGGCAGTCACGGTCCAGGTCATGGGATTCATCATGTTGTTCCTGGAGAACCTCTGGACGATCCCGTTTTACGTAGCTACTCGCGATGTTTGGCGGCAGATATTTTGTGCGTGTGGCGACGCGTTTCGGGTTGTTCTGGATCAGCACGGCCGCCCCCTGACGCCTTTGAGCCGCCTCCTCCGCCGGCACAACCGCCGCCCTTGAGCCTGGCTAGTGCTAAAGAGCTGTGGATTTTTTGGTACGGCGAGGAACCGGATTTAAATGAATTGGTGGCACCAGAGTTGAATATGACTGGTAAGATGATTTTTTTTTAATTACATTTAATCTGGATTTTAAGAAAATCAATCTAAAGCTCGGCTGATATCTGGTCCTGTTTAAATTGATGTTATTTAACCCTAAACTAGTTTTAATGCTTTAAAATGACTGGCAAAAAATACAATCTCAAGACATTAGTGTTTGAGATAACATTCAGCAACGTAAAAGTTTTACCTTCACAATTGTTTGAAATTTATCAAGTTTCTCTGTTAACACAATATTTACTCACACGGAAAGTCATTAATGTAACTAATCTACCTCCTGGAACGAACAAGAAATAACTGCCATTGGGAGTGTTTTTATCTGTTGAACATGTTCATTTTCTGCAAAACTATTCTTCAAAAGTGCCTGCGAATGTGGGAATTGCTCGTTTAACTTTTCCGGAATTAAGCGAGCAACGTGTTCTGATTTTGATTTGTTTCAAACACACATTTCTATTTTGATCTGGATAAGACGTGTCAATTAACATTTTATTTATATATAATAACTTCTTCAATAGAATTTTTTTTTAATATTTTTCTTTGGTATGCGTTAAGGGAACCGAGTTTGTCGTCTACTTAAAACACATTTTTTGCCTTGAACGCGGTTTTAATGTGAATAATTTCTCAAAAAGTTATTACCTACTTAAAGCGCCTCAAACGATCTAAAACGCCAACCAAATTTGAAATTCCTGATCCAATTTTAATTAAATTGTTAATTACATTTAAAGTTAAGTTGATTGTCGGAATCAAAATAATTATTTACAGTGGTTTTCAAATATTGATAGTTTTGTTTCAAATAAAGCAAAAAAATACTATTAATTGCAGATATCAATCACAGAATACTACGAATAAATATTTAATTCAATTATTGTTTTATTTAAAAAGAATTCTTCAAAATTCACTGTCTAGCTGCCTCTTCTTGTGTAGGCCTATATTCAATTTAGTACTCAGAATGAAACAGGATCTAAAAGCACTCAAAATTTTCCTTGTAAAGAATCAGCTATTTGTGCTAAAGTCCTAACCCTGTATAGCGTATGTACAGGCAATTTCTATTACTATTATCATAATTTAGTTGGTTGGCAATTAAGTATATTAGTGGTATTAATCAACCACACTTAATGAGTTTGTGCGGTTGTCAGTAGCTAAAATATCGGATATACGATTGAATGAAATAATGCTGAAAAAAGTGCAATGTTGAACTGCTTATTCCGTTAACTGTGCACGGTGTTTCAAATTAAGCAAACAATTATTTCGAAATACTAATTATATGTATTGTCCTTTTGTAAATTTTATATTGAGCGGAATTCTGATCAAAAGACTTATTACCCAAACCGATTTTTCAACTTCAGTTTATGTAAGTGACTAGGCCAAGCATGATATATTAATTTTTAATCACGCAGATAAGGAAAACCGAAATACGAGATAACAGATTAAATATTCGTAATTATTTGAATATAAAACACATAGATATTGCATCACTGTCAAATTCATAAATTTACTATGCTGATAACAATAACTGAGGATTCAGTTTGTGCAAAGTACTATGTAATTTAATAATATTGAGTAGTGCGCTTTTATTAAAGCAAAACTCTACGAGTTTATCGTGAGGTTACCAGGCAGATTGTATCAATTAATCGGAACAGCAGGGATAATTCTCACAATCATAGTTTTTTGTATGTTTCGGAATTATTTCTAGTTTTTACAGAGAGTATTTTACGGGAAAACTTAACGAATTTACAGTGTTTGAATTGTAAAAATGGTGCAATTATGTAAGACGTCACTATTTCTCTGATCGATATTGATTGAAAGGAAAATTGCGATAATAAAACATAAAGCTAGATAAGTACATGCAGAGTCAGTTATTATAACTGGGTCGTTTTTTTTTGTTTGTTTGTTATTTTGAATAGTAGAGAGGTGATTTTTATATCAGACTGTAGGACATCTTTTGATTTTTTACGAATAAAGTACATATACAATCCAGTCTTCCAGAAACCCGTACTAGATCAAATTTGTATATTTTTTTATTGACCACCTTGCACATCACTACAAATTCGGATTCTACGTCAAACTATAAGCAGATTGACTCCTATATTTACTTTCAAGTGTTTTGGAGCTAGAAACATTTGAAAATACACTTTATACTATTGTTATCGACGACTTCTTCTACTAAAGTAATCGAAAAAAAATTCAAATAAAAACTAAGGTAAACATTTACTGGTATTTAGCTTAAGTTGACTCATAAAACCATAGAGCAGAAGAAAATTGTTTAAAATAGTCAGGTCTGTGCTGTTTGCTGACCTTATGCGGGCAAAATGATGAATATGATTGGAGAAATACAACATCAACAGAAATGTTAGATGGAAACAATCAAGAAATCATCTTAGCCTGCATAGGGAGACAACATTTCAGTAGAAAGTCGATTTTTAATTGTTTCTAGCTCGGAAACAGTCGTAGAATCTATTTTCGTATCGTATTTTAATTATAAGTAAACATTCCTACATTGTTTACAATTTGGTATAAAAAGCATGCCTCTATTCTTGTACAACCCTGTGCATTGTCTACACCTTATTATGTATCTTGGGTTGGTAAAAAAATAAATTATGCACAATATACAGAGTGTTTTTCTTGCATACCAATAGTCAAAGATCTTGCTTCACCGCTGGCTCTAAGCAATAGGGCGCTTGTGTAAATAACAGTCAGTTTTGTAGTTTAATATTTTAAATTTGAATACTTATTAACTTGTCACAACAAATGTTTGTTTACAATAATAATGTTTTATCTTGAACATTTTAAATCACAACATTTTTTGTGGCTTGATGTTTTCGTCTACTTACCATACTTATCCACTACTTATCAATTTACATAACCTGATCGAAATAGTAGCTTGCGGTGTAAGCCTGTAAACATATGCGGCTTAATGCAACTCATATCAGTATGAATAGTACGGTTTATTGTTTGTTACAAGTAATCATAAACTGAATAAAATCATTTTGTATCTATGAATTTTTTAATTAAAGTGGTTAAGTCGAACCTGTTGATAGGTGGTTTATCTTGTGTTTATTCATTTGAATTTTGTTTTGTTGGAATGTTTTTTTCTGTGAGCGTTATTTTGCAAATTGCAAAGTTTTCATTCATGTTTTAAACTTCCCAGAAATTGTATAGTGTTTTTATAAGAATCAGAAAACTAATGAAATTTATTTGAAATGCGGGAAATTTGTGCCCTTTAATATAATCAGGGTGCTACGGTGCCATAAGGAAATTTGGGCTCAAATTGCATCACTTGGGCCGATGATTACCTGCCCCAGGCAATTGGTACAAACCGTTCAGGATTTCAATTTTTATTGTGCCCTGTAGGCATGCCGGAATTTTTAGCAGCTGCTGTTGGAGCTAATATTTTCTGTAAATTTTTACAATACTAATAAAATAAAATTGGCAACGATGTCAACAAAAGCATACCACTCAATGCATGCCATACTACCAGTTTTGTTGAATGTTGATGGCTACTTTACGTTCAGTTATCGTTAGACTACCTGTTTCACATTCTTTTGTGTAGACGGCGAAGACAGACCACAAACGGGGCCATAATATTATACGAGATTATAATTAAAACATTTTTAAATAATCAACATTTATGTAGAATCGGCACCATTGGCGGCAGAGATATATTTGGAAATTGTGGGAATTCTTCTAGGTGAATGATATCACCTAGAACGAAATTGAATTTGCTGCTCGAACCTCATAAAAGTGAACTGAAATGGAAATTTAACCTAGAAGGGTTTTACAATCGGCGGAACTGTTTATTACCAATCTAGGAGATAATAGCCTTGAAGTAGGTCATGCAACGATGAAATAGTTGGAAAGGAAAACTAAAGCAGACGTAATAAGATTGAGATGAAGCCACAATTAGATTCCAGTGTAGATAAATTTTTAAGAATGGAATTGACGAAATTAATTGAGGTCTTGTGGATTTGTCAAAATCAAAGTGTTTATGGGCAATGTTGAATTAATTGTGTCCTTTATTATTTTTAGACATTTTTTTCATTTTTTTGCTATTTCTTTGGTTGCTATCAATATTTTCGGTCACTATTTCTCTGGCATTGCCTTTATCTGTGCTTTTACCGACCACTTTAGTGATTACTTCACAAACGCCCCAAACTGAACAATTTGTCGAACATTTGAGTGGGATAATGGTTTTTATGCAAATTATCAACATATTTAATCCAATTTTGTTTTCACGATTATTCAGGCATTGAGTATTCAAGGCAGGCAGGTTGGCAATGAAATATAATTTTTTTTTGCACAATTTAGTATATTTTAAAAGAATAGGGTAGAACATTAAACTGCTTAGGTACTGCTCCAGATAGTGCAAACAATTATAAATATTCAAGTAAAATACAATATCCGAAAGGCGGATATTATTCACTCGGAGCTTCTAATATATTTCCTATTGGCTCTGCTTCTAAACCCTATTTTTTTGCTGGTTACTGTTTCATTTTTTCTGACTTTCTCGTCGACTTCACAGATTGCAGAATCACCTTGATAATAAGATACAATTTTAAAATTATTCGATATCGCTCGGTCATAAAAACACTTTTCTAGATAAATAAACACGTTATGTTAATTCTATGGTCGTTTTCATTGTACCTCGAGCGCGAGAATACAAAATGTTGAGTTGAAGAAATTGAACCTTTGGTTCACAGATTTGTGAAAAAGGCACCATGTTTTTCGCTCTCAATTCATAATACATTGATAGGGTCATATTGAACTGCTACCTACATTCTCACTATAGTTATCTGCATGTAGTAGGTTTTTAAACCTCATTTGGCGGAGTTTGCTGCATGAACAGATGATGGGAAAGAGATTTGCATTAATTATCATCATACGGTTGTAGTAGTATTGGACCAATTTTGAGATTAACAGGATAATAAAGCCTTAAACGGTTCACGTGTTGTTTGAAACTGGAATGGTAGCGGATTTGTAGATCCGTAAATAGAACCACAAAAAACAGCACACAAGTAATATCATTTGAACAAAACAGTTTAAATCGAATAAAAGCGCGTCGATGAATGTAGTGGCGAGAAATGAAATCAGAATTCGTTGACCTCTGGGTACGTCAACGGTGATTTCTTCTACATGGTGGTCTAGACATGCATTGTGTAGGTCCTGGTTGATTCGAACCGTAGAACTACTGAAGAAATGCATCATAACAGATCAAAAATCATGCTAAAGAGCCACCAAGTAGAAGACACCAAGAAACTGGCACAGGCATAAAGCTAATTAACTAGTTTTTTGCAGCAAAATTTTAGAGAAACAAATACACTATTGGATTTTAAAAATCGACGTTTAAAGGCCTCGATCAAGTTGAATAAGGTGTATGCATGTAGGCGCATATAAATCTCGCGTAGTTTACATTATTTGGAGCTTATTCACCAACTGAAAAAATCTGGGCTTAAAATGTGAAAAAGAAAAAAACAGTGAACCGAAAACTAAACCTACCAAAAGCTGTATCCCAGAAACAAAATGTAGTTAATAAGCAAGATATTTATTTATTTAAAATTCCACTCTAATATGCTCAACAAGTGTTCATTTTGTTCATAATCGAACTAACATCAACAAATCAAATAAATTATCCGGCTGATTGCTTTGGTAATAACTTGGAAAAGTGCAATTAAATCACAGAATGCCGACTAAACTATACCGATTTGACAATTACTAAAACTTAATTAGTATACAATTGACACAGTAAATCGAGATGTAATTTAAACTCGTTCTGTTGTTGAAAATCAGCTTCTAAAAGTGAGATTAAGTGGAAATTGTTTTTTAAATTCAACATTTACTGAGCCATACAGACAGTTGAAATTTAGAAGGCATTTTTGTTTTTAGTTGAAATTCAAATATTGTCTAGCCAGTCTTCGTGGCGATTAAAAACTTATTGAACATTTGCGGCATACTTACGAATTTACAACGATATTTATGCGAAAAGCTACTAAATTATTAGGATTTGGCTTTGATGTTTCAGCTATATATCGGTTTTTAGCATTTATCAAAGCAAGAATGATATTTAATGCATATGTAGAAGTAAAAGTAAAATTTAAGAGAATACAAGTAAAATCTAGAATTAAATGTAAGATATTATCCCTACTTTAATGAATTCAAAACTTGTTCCAAATTATGCTTCAATTAAAAACGTACTGAAAATGCGGCAAAGTGGCAAAGTGATGTAGAAGAAATTTTTACAAAAAAATGAAAAAACTCTTACACTGTGTTTACACTTTAAATGTGCTTCTTTATATTAATATTTCTGATGCTTGAACGAATGTGCAAAGTAAGCATTAAGCTTAAAAATGTATTCAATACTATATGAGACACTGTAAATTCTGTTCACCCACACACTGGCCATTTGTTAGATATGTAAATTTAATTTCTAATCAATAACTTTCAATTTTCTGATCAGGCATTGATAAATTATCATTGATAATTTATATTAATCGTTTTTGGGACTTTGAAATTTCAATTCTATTAAGTGCAATAATTATCTTTTTCTATCGGTATGAATTCCTAAAGAAAGGAGGTTCTGTAAGGCAACGGCGGTTAATAGTTAGCAGAGATTTAGAATTTGTTGTCATTGATCTATTTTTTAGATAAGTTCTATATTGTTGAGGCGGATTCATTTTTTTACAAACTTCTTGTTGGGTATTTCGCCTCAAAAATTTTTGTCTTCAAAAAAGACAGAATTTCCTCACGTCTTCTATTACAGATTGATAAATAGTGCTAATGATAAATGATCTATTTTTATGATGAAGAAATAAAGTCCTTTTGAATTCTTCGCATGCAGTAAAATTGTATAAAGTGTTTCTAGAAGTATAAAATTGAAACATACATTTTACTTTTAACTGTCGTCTTGATTCAAAAAGTTACAACTTTGAAACGTAATCATGATCATCATTAACAAAACGAAATAAAAACGACGAAACATTTTGTCTTCTGCTAATTTGTAACTAAACTACTAAAATACGGGGTTGGCTTTTGAAGCGTCTCAAATCCTGCAAATATGATGTGTTACACCTTCGAAATTACCCCAGAAAACGGGGATATATATATATACGGGGAAAACAAATATATGTACCTATATTTGTACAGTGTTTTCTTTGCCTTGAAAACATTGGTTAAAAAAGGTTGACAAAAAAACATGGTAATGATGAAGAAACAGAATTAATACTCGCTCATCTAAAGCCAATACTTGATCATTCATAGATAAAAAGTGATAAAAATGTAGATTCGTCTCATAATAATGATGCTTCTAGAGCTGCCTGCGTTCTATGGTCTATTGCTCTTTTATTCTAATGGTATCTTTCTTGGTTAATATTCTAATACAGGTTTCTAGTGACTAAAATCGGCTAATCCTATATGCTTTTATTTGATGTAACTCAATCTGATTACTGAACCAGCCTGTAAAAGTGATTGGAATGATCAATTTGATAGAATCTGATACCGCAGCTTGTCCATTTGCGCGAAAAGGTTTAACAGCCTGCAAACATCGGGTTTCTGTTCATCCTGTTTATTGTCCCTTTATATTAATTGATTCGGTCGGTCAATCTCACTCATGGGAAGTAAAATATTTGGACCACCCGGTACGTGGCAGTTTCGTAGGAATACCAATCAGGTCTAGCTCGTGTGAAATGGTCAACATTATATGTCTGAGGAATATGCGCTCCACAATGTTGTCAAACGATGTTTTTTTAGTAATATCTACTACGGGATTTTTAGAACTGTTGTTGTTTTTCAAATTGCGTCTTTAAACCACTCAAGCGGCAAAAATAGATATTACTATTCTTTTTCACTTCAATTAACCTTCTTGGGATAAAATGTTTTTGTTTCTTACTAATAACATGGAATAGTTGAGTGAGTGTATAAAGGTATTAAGCCACATGGAAATATAGGTAGTAACAGTATATATGAAGTGGATAACGTTGTCAAAGCTGTTTTCTTTGCTAAAGTCGATCAAAGTTACGACCTTGACCAAAATAATTTCTTGGTGCGATGAATAAAAATTAACCTTTGATCGTTAGTTGATAATTGCGGCATTGATTGCCACGACGAGCCTGATTGGTTCAAATAGATTAGTTTACTCAAATGGGTTATGACGACCGATTTCGCGTGCTTAGTGATGATGTTATCCGTGGTAGTTTGTTATTCTTATAAATTGCTACATTTTTGCTTTTGCACATTTTCATTTGCACGATGCATTCAAAAAGACGTAAAGAAAGAGGTTTTTAGTTTTATCTATTATTTATTAGTAATTATCAGCTGCTCATCCAGAAGGCTCTAAAGTTTGACTTATTTAAAGAACAGCCTTTGAAGAGTCTTATGGTTATTGCTAAACTATCAACAGGAGTTTTTAATTCTTTCATTGCAATTTTTCGAATATTGAGACCGACGAATATTAACCCATTATTTGTAAAATAACTTATGGAATCGAGCAAAAGTGATCAATTAATTAAAGTACTATTGCGGGAAAGATCGCTAACATGTTGGTCACAAATGCGTTTTAAGTCCAAGCCAGCAGCAGCAAGGGGAGAATGCTGCAAATAGTTAACATAAAATATTTTCAAAATTCTCAAATATTTTTCATTACAATCACACTCACTTCTTTCGCTATTCATACTTTCACTCATTCGTTCAGACCACCACAAGGATGTGCTTAACTAAAAATGAAAGTTACATACCATTTAAATTTTCAATATACATAAAACTGCCAATGTTCTTGAAACTGACGCTACTTTGTACCCAGTCCATGTGTTAATTTGAACTACGCCAAAAATGGAAATTGTATCGGTTCATAAAAAAACTCTTCAGTTTTCGTAAATTTTGATGCAATTTGATGCAATGCAATGAGATTTTGATTTCAATATGTAAAAGTAGCAAAAGAAATTGAATTTCTCTACATTTTCGAATAGAAAATTCGGCAAACATCTCTGTTTGAACGATATAAAGCTTATAAAGTGAAATTTATTTGTCGATTCAGACAGACTCTTAAGATTTCGAACTTCGAATAACTTCAGTTGACGATATCTTCAGAAATTGGCAAAACTTTCATATTTTATCCAAATCTTAAAAAATTCGAATAGCTACACACAGGAACTCGACACACTCAACAATTAAAAAAATACTACTTTCATATGAAATGTCTTTAATGTTCTCGACCGTTGTAGATGCATCCTCTATAAGAAAAAATCAAACGAATATGAATATTTGGGGCACAGTTGACTTTTTTAAGCACGCATCCCATTTATTACTGAAATTGCAATGATAGTCGTGAATGAAATATTGTAAGACAAAACGCAGCAAAAAGCAATTATCGATCCCTTGAAAAAAAAATATTTTTTTCTCTTCTCGGAAAAGAAAATGTTTCTATGGTTTTTCATAAGAAGTGAAAAACATCTTCGTTCAATCAGTCCAATCGACTAAAGTACCGCTGAAAATTAAAGTGTTTTATTCACTGGTTTCTCAAGAAACATCCGATACTGGTATGTAGATTTAGCTCTAGTAGGGAACTATTGAAGGTGAAATGGCTATTTAAATATTCTTAGCAATTCCAATGACTACTAGTTCAGAGCAAGAGGACTAGTAATAAAATTGAATTTTAATGGACTTGAAACAACATTTTTGAGTGTATCAAATTCTGTGGCGTTATGATTATACTTTTAGATGATCATTTCGATGTGTTTTATTCTCACCTCAATTACCACAAATCACTAATTTAAATGTATTAACCGTTAAAGTAACATAATATTTATTCAATTAGATATACAATGTTAAATTCCTGAGATCTTAACGCTTGAACATATTAACACAATAATTCGCGGTTGGCTTTGGTAGTCGCTTCTCGGCTGCAAGATGACGTCGCATTACGTCTTGATGACGTACAGATCATGTTCCCTCCCGTTTCGATATTGTTTCATGATCTTTGGTCCACTACAACATGCTACAAGCACCATAGTTGCCGATTCTTTCAATTAATACGTAATACTAATAATCAAATTGATAAAAGCCAGTAGTTCCAGTACTTCAACCCTCCAAGTGACCTTATAGAAAGTCACAGTACTGCTATATTTTAACTAGATCATTCCTTGAGGTCAGGTATAAGTGTGTACGTTTGTTAAAATAAAAGCACTAAAGGATTGAGAGTTTAGAGAATTCAGGTCGGGCAAACGAGGAGGCCAATCTGTTTCTTGCCAACTGTGTGATTCAATGAATCTCACAATTTGGATTAGTGGTGGAGGTTCCATGTTCCATGCGTGAATTTACATCTGAGATTTTCTGGCTTTTGGAATAGAGGAACATACGTTTTGTATTGATTGATATATTTATTGATTTTGCTGGAAAATAAACCGAATTAAATGTTTCTGTGTCTTCCATATTTTTACACAAGTAGTACTGTTGTGTCCTAATTATAGCAAAATAATTTCAAGTTGAGAAGTTTTTTTCATGTATTCTTAGTGATCAGCCCGTTCTTTAAACAATTAGTCAATGTATAACTTCTTTCAGATTCAAATTTAAATATTCATTTAATGTCGGCATTTTCCTAGGTTTCAAAACTAATTAACTAGATGCCAAGCAAATAAAACGCCATAAATTCTGTGTGCAATTTGTGATTGTAGGGGATTAATTTGATAATGCTATTTTGTATGACTTCAAGGAGATTTCAGGATTTTCGTGATGCCGTTGAAGATAAACCAACACATTGTCACGGTTTTTCCAAATCTCAAATTTTCCATTATTAAAGTGAAAACTCAATATAATTATTTTAATTTTTTGATTTTTTAGTTTAGATTATTGTATCTATTTAACGTAGTATAGAATTTTCCAACCACAATGTTAAATTTCAAGCATGAGAACAGCCCAGAGGGTTATAAGACAAAAATACCATAAGGTGCGAAAAATTGTGTCCAAATAAGACTCAATTAGTCTCGATTTTAGTAATTCGTAATCATTCACAGAATGTTGATGTTGTTTAGACAACTTTAATTTTTCTGTTTCACTTTGACTGCAAGATTTGTTAATATTTTCAGTTACATCCACCCCCATTCGATTAGAGCCCCATCAACGTTTAGTATACGATCTGAAAATTGCGATTTTGCCGTTAAGGGTGGTCTATCCGCCCCCTATAGCCACCCACGTGCTTCTGCAACGCGTTTAAAGGTCATGAAACGCGCGCCGAGTTGTTACACCCCCTGTTTTCCAATTGTTTGGGCATGCTGTTTGTCCTTCTGCTGGGTTGCCATCCTGTCGAACACATTTCATTTTTTTACACGAATATTGATCGAATTTAGTGGCTTCATATAGTTTATCCCGAACTACATAAGTTTACTGTTTTACACATATTTTCCAGTATATGTAGAAGCTGCATATCCTGCATGGGCATATGTAGAGATCATATAGGTAGTAGCCTGGAAGAAATAGTTTAAAACATACCCTCGAAGGTTTTGGGACTCAATAAAGAGTACACGTTCGTGTACTCTTTATTACACTAGAAAATAAAACAACGTATTTCAAACGAACTTGTCAATAGTAAAGTTTCAGTGAAATTAATCTTCTTTTTTTCTCTGGTTCCTGCCTGTGTCCATTTTTTAATATTTTTCTTGTTTGTTTATTTTTAATCTGCAAGGTACGAATAATAGGCACAACTTTGCCGAATGTAAACCCACTAAAACCCTTTCCTCACCGCCGAGGTGGCGTTTGGCCTCGCACCGCGGTCATTTCTGTCCTATTGTGCCCTCGTACTTTTACTCCCTCATTATCCCTGTATATTCAATGAATTCCAGAAGAGTCT